TCATATAGGGCATCAATCGGATCCAATATGATGAGGTGCAGACCGCTGCTGGCACCGTGCTGTCAGACAGAAAGAGGAGCAGGAAAATAAGACAGAAAGAAAGGTTAATGTGTGAACTGTAAATAATGTCTTCTATCTGCATAGACTAGCAGTTACATTCTTGTCTTACATGATGCCATTGTTGAGTAATTTCATTTGTTGCTTTGTTGAACTATTTACCAAAAAAGTACATGCATTTTAGAGTATTCTTCTCCTGGTTCTCACTTGAGTGTCAATGGCATCTTAATGCATCATAATTGGCCAATTCAGGGCAGGGCTCGCAAAATTTCAAAATCCCTGGTAGCCCTTCGGGCAGGTACTCTTTGGTTTTTACTAGCCCGAAATGAATTTAAGTAGCCTGAATAAAATAAGAAAAATATTTTTAATGTAGAATATCAATAATCAGCAACTGTGTCATATTGAATCTGACATATCAACTGAAGTCACAAATGGCACTCGACGTTGAGGGCATAGCATCTTTTTCATCATCCTTCTCCTGTGCATCAGTCTCCATTTCTCTGCTCTTTGTTCTTGTCGGGGTTTTATGTTCCATGTGTCTTGAACTGCCTTGTCAGGGCAAAAAGATTCAACTGAATCCCCTTTCATGGAGAGTTGCATACAGTCATTCAGTGTGTCAGGCTGTAGAGATGTACGGTATGCAGTCTTCACTCGGCTCATGCAGGAAAATCCTCTCTCGCAGATGGCTGTCGATGGACTAAGAGTGAGCACTAGTTTCACCAGCAACAAGATATGAGAAAGGTGTTCTGGATTCTCAGAGAGGAGATCTCTGTACAAACAATATAGCTTGTTACCCCGGTGTTGTGTAAGCCACATTTTTAGATCCATCCATTCCTGTGGAATTTTCTCCTTCTCTTCCCCATTTAGCAAACTGGCAAAATGTGTGACAAGATAATCCACCTCTTCATCCCCATAATTTGCCAGCTCTTCTCTGGTGTGGGGAAGAGTGGAAGGGTCAAACACTTTGAAACAAGAGAGAGGCTTTTCACACAGATTTTTAAATCTGCTGTCCATGTACTTAACTGTGTTATCAATAATCTTCTGAATCTCTGTAGCAGTGCCTTTGTCTGTGCCCTCACTTCTTCTAGCAGGTCGCTGGCTTTTTGTGAGTGGAGTTCCACAGTAGCAAATGCTGCCATCCTCTTTCACTGTGAACTTTGTGTCCAAGGTTTTCTGGTATTCTCCAGGTTTTGTTTTCAGGCTGAGTAAGCGTGATGCGGTACCCTGAACTAACTGATTTGTTCATGTGATTAAGTTGTCATGCTGAAAATCAGTACTGCACTTGGATAAGATGGTACTATAGTCCAGCATAAAATGTAGGAAGTGAACAAATTTCTCAGTCTTCATCTCCTGCACCACCCCCTTTGCTTTGGAAGCATCCTCTGGCTTAATTTCACTTCCTCCTGCCATATTCTCCATGTGAATAACAGTGGAAGT